AATGGTCATAAGCACAGGTCTATTAAGTGAGGAGAGGTTATGGCTTACAGTGAAACAAACAAGCCCAGTTAAAGATGATAGAGATGTTTTTGAATGTGTTTTTACTGTTGACAAGGGCATTTTGCAAGGAATTGAAATGACACATGAACCGTCGCATTTGTTAATTGCGCATAGATATTTTGCTAAATATGCGTCTCAAACCGTGATGCCCTGTATTTTAGGTTTATGCTCTGAAATCCTATTTCCGTGGTCTCTAGCTCTGTAGTGTTAGCTCGGTAGCTCATTTCAGTTGAAATTATCCGGACCTGCCTTCTAATGTATAAACCAAGTGATTAATGCAGCCTTAATGCCTCCTGCAAAACCCCACCCCCAAACCCTTGGGCTTTACTAGTATATTACAGAGCTCTGTATGCAAACACACCACAATTTTGTGCTAAAGGGAACTAAATTTTATAGCATGGTGTGTAATTGTGGTTCGGCCTCACACGTTCTCATAGACACACTTATGGTATTTTACTCTGGTGAAATCCCACCTCCTACCCCAACAGGATTATTTTTGCTGATTTCAGTCATCTGCTGTCCTCATAAGCTAAGCTATTTTTGTTAAACAATTTATATGTATATTTGTATTCATTTATAAATATGTACACAAAATGAAGTGAATAATCAAGGATAATCTCTCCTCCCTGTAACCCACTGTGACCCACTGGTCGTCCTCTAACTGTTCCACTGTCCATTTTTGTTGTTTTAATCTTTTCAGACTGGAAATAAACCTATTTTATTTGAAAAAAAAAAAAGATTGTGTAATTGTTTTTTATGTTGCCTTTTCTACAAGAAGGATTGTTGTTTTTTTAATTTTATGTTGCCTTTTCTACAAGAAGGGCTGTTGTTTTATGTTGTTTTGATGATACATAATTAAATATTATGAAATGACAGCTCACAATGAAAGAAGGATATGCTAAATAGAAGTTCTACAAACATCTGTTATATTTTGCCTATTTTAAAAGCAGTGCTTGGAAATTATACACAAGAATTAATACTTCATCAAGGATGCATCATCAAAAATGATCAATGCAATTGATCTAAAGTGACAGTAAAGATATTTAAAATATTGCTGTTTCAAATAAATTCTGTTCTTAAACTTTATTTATCAAAGAATACTGGAAAAAAAATGTAGCATGGTTTCAAAAATATTAAGCAGGACAACTGTTTTCAACATTGATAATAACGAGAAATGTTTGAGCACAATATCAGCATGTTAATTTCTGAAGTATCAAGTGACACTGAAGACTGGAGAAATGGCTGCTGAAAATTCAGCTTTGCCTTCACAGGAATAAATTACATTTTAAAATATTTTTAAATATACCGTTATTCTTAATTGTAATCATTTCACAATATTATTGTTTTTACTGCAATATTATTGATCAAATAAATGCAAGCCTTGGTGAACATCTTTTTTAGGGACCTCTTTCAAAAACATAACCCTTTCTTCTGTTTTGCAAATCTTTACATTGACCACCAGTATGGTCTAAAATTTGTGCTTAGAAGCTGCAGTTAATTTTGTTACTATTACTAGTGCTTTTGGGGTTTCTGAGACCCATAATCTAAAGTAAATGTAAAAGCAGATTTTAATGTAAAAAAAAAAGATTTAAGGTGGATTTGGCCTCTTGTTTCTGAAGGGAGGGCCAATAAAAAAAATCAAGAAAGATGGCTTCAGATGAAATTCAGTTTCAGATGTAGGAAAAAGTGCTCCAATTTATTTAAAATATACTGTTTACTTTCATTTTGGAGCAACGGAGACCCTAAATATGAGTCATATAATGCTCACAGCATTTCGGTCACAGTGATATTTTCCCCTTACTTAGGAACCAGCTACGTGATTTATTATAGCCTGACCACAGTGTCCTTGAAGTTATTAAAACACTTTTAATTTTAGAGTTGAATGGCTGGTCTCTATTTAACAGATTTTTCATTTACCTTTCATATGTTGATGAATTTGTAATACGAGTATTGATGTCTCATTTTGACATCAGTCGTAAAATGGGAAGCAAATGTACATCTTTTGTGCAAAATCTTTTGCACTTTACAGTGGTAAATTAAAAAGGGGGTTGGTAGTAGAAAGATGGGCGAGAACTCTTAAAGTTTGCTTTTTTTAATTATGAAAGAGAGACACTTTTTTGCATTTCAGAAAAAGGAGTTTCGCTTCTCAGGCAAACTTTTAATTGTAGTCACTCTTATCACATTCAGTGTTCCTATTTGGGTGATGTCAGTCCATCTATTTTATAGATCTGAAAAGCTCTACTTTAACTATTTTGTCTTTAAGCAGCCAGGTGGGGGCAGTGTGAGTTGGATAAAAGGAAGTGACTATGAAGTGGGGGGCCACTGTCAAAACCAGTTTAGAATGAAGAGACTATGAAGTGAAGCCACTGTTAAAACCAAAGTCAGTCAAGAACAGACTACTTAAAATTAAATAGCTACACTCATAAAAATAAAGGAGCTTCACGATGACATAGAAGAACCTTTTTGTCTAAATGGTTCCATAAAGAACCTTTAACATCTGAAGAACCTTTCTGTTTGACAGAAGGTTCTTTGTGGCGAAAGAAGTTTCTTCAGATTACAAAAAGGTAAGAAAGAGATGGTTCTTTAAAGAACCTTTGACTGAATGATTCTTTGTGCAACCAAAAATGGTTCTTCTATGGCATCGCTTGAAGAACCTTTTGAAGCACCTTTATTTTTAAGTGTACAGCAAAATGGAAGTGGATTAATGTCTGATCCTCTCAAATCTAGTCTAAAGTATCCATAAATCTAACTCTGATAAAATGTCATTTTGTACCAGTGAATGCTGCTAAGGTAGATATTGAGTGGTAAATGCAAACATTCACCTAGGATCTACAAGACAGAAGTGTATTTAAGAGATAGTTTACTCAAAAATGAAAATTCTTTCACCATTTACTCACCGTTATGTCATCCCAAATCTGTTTGACATTCTTTTTTCTTTTTTTCTGTGGAATGCAAAAGAAGATTTTTTGAGAAATCTTTCAAAAGTTTTTTCAAACTGTTTGGTTTCCAAAATATCTTCATGTTCTGTAGAAAGAAAAAAATCATACAGGTTTGGAATAAGTACAGCAACAATACAGCATGGCCTCAAGTGCCGTATTGCTTTTTTCACAAAATGATTAAGGAGATGTAACGTGTTTTAACAGTTTTATTAAGCTAATTCATTGTCACTTTATTGACCAACCAGAATTCTAGAAAACAACTGTTTTAGATAGCAGGTTAAGGGCTTGTATGTTCAAATGTGAACTCTTTGACAGTTGGGGTTTGAAATCATGAATATTCTCTCAACATTCCATGATCTGACTGGAATATGTGACTTTTAAAGATTTTAAATCAATCACATGCTGAATGTTTAAGTGGTTACAGAGGAAAACCTGGCCATCTTACTCTAAACAACAGATGGTCACACACTACCAGACTTTC